TAGATAGATAGATAGATAGATAGATAGATAGATAGATAGATAGATAGATAGATAGATAGATAATCCATTGAATAAGGAATGTGACTATCCAGTATTGGAAAATCAATGGAACCAAGTCTGAAGAATAGTTAAAATCCTTTGTATTTGAGAAAGATTTCCAAAGGACCTCTCCAACTATTGTCCCATTGGTTTGTTATCAATGGTATGCACATTTAAGCTATGCATCTCTTAAATAAGTTAGGAATGAGGCCAACAGGCTAAAATCTTGGGAATTAAGTAGGCTGAGTTCAGAGCGGGTTGTTCTGTACTGGATTACTGTCTGATCTTATACCATTTCACTGAAAAATATTCCTGGGGACTACAACATAATCTTTTTGTGACTTAAAAGAAGTTTGAGATTCTATGTGCGAGTATATTATGGAAAAAGATGAGGAAATCCTCAACTGACAGAAGGCAGCTTTTTCTTATAATGCAATTATACTCTTAAGTCCTTTTTACATATTTGATATAGTCCCAACGGTGTTTTAACTAATTCAGTTCCCTCACTCAACATGGAGTGAGGCAAAGGTGTGTTTTGGCTCCAGCAATGTTCAAATTTTATAAGAGTGACTTGGCAGCCTCTTTAGAATCTGAAGACTTTCATTCCCCCTAAACTGGCTGAAATATGTGAGCCATCACCATATATATTAATGTAATCATTGGAAAAGCATAGTAGTTAATAATGAAAATGTAATACTGAACTACATTACAGAAATATGGAGTTTGACACTTGATGGAAATCTCTGGTTTTTGTCAAGCCAGGAATTTGTCTAAGACAATTACTCTACACAGATGGAAAGGAAACAATCCTCCAGATGTAAAAGAATGGATTCAAGAGATGTGTTCTTTGCCAATTTTTGAAAAGTCTATACTGTAAAAATGAGAAGATGGAAAGTGTGTTTCTATACAGTCAAGATTTAATAATGTTAAGGGACTGACCTAGTAGTGTATTAATACTATATTAATATTTTAATGCTCTTCTTTTTTATTTTTCTTTTAGTTCAAAAATTGGTTGCATTCTATTGCTTATTTTTGTTTGTTAATGTCACATCTATCTATCAAACTACAATTTTAAAAAAAACCAAATAAAACAGATGTATTTTGTATTTGTAAAACAGAAGAAGGTATAGGTATAGAGTTTAACTCTATAGAAAGATATAGATATAAATATGGATATGGATATATAGCAGTCAAAGACAAAGATTAATAATAGTAACTAAAAAAAATGCAGGGGATCAATTATGTAAATTATGCAGAAGGAAGTGATAGTCCCACTTCACATAGTAGATAAATTATATTT